AGTGCATTTTAGTTTTCTGAGTTATGAGCAGAAATACTCAACACTGAACGTTGGGCTATATATCAAATTGAAGCTATTGAAAAACGCTATTTGGTGTAGAAATTTTAAGATTTTAGCTATAAGGGAAGTACTGAAAAATTACAAACATAATTACCGATAATTTGCCGTTTTGCAGTTGTTTTTGTATTTTTTAAATATTTTTCTTTTCGCTGAAGTCTTGAAATTTCCACACCGAATAGCAATTTTCAATAGCTTCAATTTGATATATAGCCCGACGTTTGGAGTCAAGTATTTCTGCTCATAACTCAGAAAAACTATTTTGGCTTCATCAAATCATAGGCCTTCATCATAGCAGTTAGCCTTCCAGTTTATTTATAGTTCAATGACTCTGCCTCGTCCCCAGGCGCTAATTAAAAATTTCATGCGAGTCACTATATGAAAGTCACTATTTACATGAAGTAGTGCATCGCGATGAACAAGCGCAGGGGGTTATGGGCCAGAACGCTCATATCCCACTCCCCTTTGCGCGCCTAGAATGTGACGCACTACTTCATGTAAACCTTTCATCTAGTGACTCGCATCTTCCCAATGACAAAAAGGGAAAAGCCCTGGGAACGAGGTTGTCGCATGAAATTTTTTTTATTAGCGCCTGGGGACGAGGCAGCAATAAACTAGTGATGGGCGATACTGAGTACTTGGTATTCGATACCAGCGATACCACAAACAGCGGTATCGGTATCGATTACTGACGTAGCCTGCGTAGCAGGCGTTTAGCTGACGGGCGGGTACAGAGGAAACGCCTGCCCAAATGGCTATGACTATGGAGCGGTATTCGGTTCAAAAATATCAGCCGACTTGTTTACAAGTCGATGCGACCATTCAGAATTCGTTGTGTCTGTTTATTGCATTAGTGTGCCTTAAGACAATGCGTTCTGCCTGTTTAAAATCTGTCTGAATGCAATACGTTTCGGCTAAACAAATTATGTTCTACCTGATCGAAATACGTTTCGCCCGAATGCCCTGTGTTGTGCATGAAAAACTTATGCACTTGGGTAGTATCATGCAAATAGTCTATTTGCATGATACTACCCAAGTGCATTGAAATAGTCCGAATGACGTTTGACACGCGGTGACGAGCGCGGTGAAAGGGTAAAAAATAACACGACGTTGCGACTGAAAATCGGATCAGGTACACACGAGGATATGATGGGATAATCGACTGACACCGGGTGAGTATATTATGAGTTCGCCGCAAGGTCCTCACTACCACCAAAAGTACTGACAAAATACTGGGAAAATGGCGGACGAGAGGCAAGCAATAGAAGGAAGAAGTTATTTCGCTGACCTCAGAATGACATTTCGTCAAAATTTTTTTCTTCAAAGGATCAGGGGTTAGGTTAATGTTAGAGTTGTTGTTTGGAATAGGTTTAGTGTTAGTAAAACGGTTGCTTTGTTACGAGAGACTGAGGCCACTCAAGGCTGCGAAATAACCTCTTCCGCAATAGAAAGTGGTCGGTTGACGCCACGCCAGATCTTTCTGTTTCGCCCGCTTAATTTATTGTACTCCAATGTGTTAAGTGTGGAAAGCAATATTAAATGGCCATACCATGAACAGGAGTGAAGCACCTTGCTCGACTATTTAGTCAGGCTATTAGTTTATAGCCTGCGTGGCAGGCTCATTGAAACAAGATATTTTAATTGGATATAATACACTGCTTAAGAAATAAACCTGATCCTAACTCTAACCTTAATCTAACCAAAAGGTATTGTATAAAGGAAATCGTAGGAAAAATTAGTTAAAGAAAAAAATATGAGAAGGAAAAACTACGGAAGCCGTGAAGGGACTTCAGACTTCAGACTTCAAACATTGGTTCCGAGCTTCGCTAATAGCCAACATTGCTTCTGCAAAGCTGGCTAATATTTAAGGCACATATTCAGTCAGAGCTATTCAAACTAAAGTCAAAAATGGTCAGAATGATTTAGATTGCAAATGCAGACTGTTGGAATGTGTCAGTGAGTTCTGAAAGTTCTTTGCAGGTTTAAAGGCAGAACGATAAAACATATAATACTATTGTTTGTAGAAACACCACATAAATTTATTACTGCAGTAAATTTATTAACTTTATTCTGTAAATTTATCAAGTTAAGTATAACACGCGCTCAAAACTAATGCGTATAATATACCACTTGAGGTTATGACTAAATTCAAAATTTTTATTTTTCGAAACGTTTCTCAATCGGCAACAAACTTAAAAAGTATGTTTAGTGCTTTATCTGTAAAATAATGCTAAATTGAAAAGATTTTAGACTACGCCAAAGAGAAAATTATGTATGAAGTTCAGTAAGTTTTTTTCCGGCTTAATATGGCGTCAATTTTAAAGCGTCATTGATAATTGTATTTTAATTGACAATTTTTAACTATGATTTTATGTTTCTCAACCGGCAAATGCATTTAAAAAGGTAGCTCTGAAGTCTGAAGTCCGAAGTCCGAAGTCTAAAGTCTGAAGTCTGAAGTCTGAAGTCTGAAGTCCGAAGTCTGAAGTCTGAACTCCGAAGTCTGAACTCTGAACTCCGAAGTCTGAAGTCCAAAGTCTGATTGTCAAACATTGGTTCCGAGCTTCGCTAATAGCGAACATTGCTTTTGCGTTCCTCTTCTTAGAATCACTTTGTTTTTGCTTTATTCTTTAAGTTTATACATGCAGTTGAGAAACATAAAATCATAGTTAAAAATTGTCAATTAAAATACAATTATCGATGATGCTTT